CGTGGTTGAGAACCAGGTCACTGGGAAGAGTACGGGAGTTACTGCCGTGGCCTAGAGTTTGGGGTCGAACCGAGCTCTTCCTCACTGACATAAAGAGCGGTCTCGTGAGGCTTGGCCGTCAGTCAAGCGAAGGTTGCGGTGGACTCCTCTTAAAACATTAAAGACTTCCCATTAAGGGAATAGTGGGGCATACAGCAAACCCTCCTATAGATAGCAATTATGCATCCTAGGCGACGGATTAGGGAAAATGGAAGGCACTGGGAAATAACCAATGCGGGCAGAAACCGAAAGGGATTCAGTCTTTGAAAGGAGGAAGGCGCATTGGGCTGGGTCTGAGTTTAAACGCTTTTTCCCCCGGAGAAGACCTCACCCCACCCCCGTCTGGGTGGCACAGAGCAGCTGCGGTCTCTTTGGCCTGAGGTGTCGGGGGCCGAGTTCGGGGCTGCCACGGCAGACGAAAACGGGTGAGCAAAATCCTGGGTAGGAGGGAGCCAACAAGGGGAGCCTCAGGGTCTGCACATAAAGCCCCTTCACGCCCGCGGCCGAGCCCTGAACGGTGCGTGCGCAGGGGACACAGGTTCTAGCGGCAGCTACGCGCCCGCGGAGCTCGGCGGGCACTCCTGTGCTGCCCACCACGGGGGAGGGGGTTGAGAGCGTGAGGTCTACTAAGTGAGAGAGGCCTAATGAACATGTCCTGTTTTCCCCCGAAGACCCGAAAGGTTCACGCTAGGGTTAAAGACCATGTCCTAGGACTGAGGCCTGCACCTGAGTTAAGGCCCGAGTCCGCAGGAGCTGGTTCCCGCAGTGTAGAGCCAAGGCTCCACCAGTCCAGGGCGATGAGCGAGGCACCCGCCGCCAAGAGGTCAACAAAACCAACCTCCTTAGGTCACAGAAGTCAGACCCTCACGATGCGTCGGGTCCAGTTTCTTTAACACTGCCAAGCAGGCAACTTCCAGCTTCTAGCCCAGCGTCTAGCAGCCTAGAAGCCGCCGCTGCCCCCTGACAAGCAAGAAGCTCAACGAGCTGAGAAAGCAGCGGCCCTCCTCAGACCTGTCAGGGAAGCGAGGCCACAGGGCACACCGACGCCCCCAAATCGGAGACGCAGGCGAATCAGGAGAGCACCGCCGTGCCAGGGCAGAGAGCTCCGCCGTGCCAGGGCAGACGGCTCGGGGGCGCAGTGCCCGGGGGCGGGAACCTCGCCTGTAGCGGACGGTTGCCCGAGGCTCAGCCTGCACAGGCCTGAGAGTTAGCAGCTCCACGGGGCCAGTCATTTCTGAGACGGAAATTCTAAGAAAGGGTCAAAAGGAAAGGCGAGGGGTCAGAAACACTGTAAACAGGAATAAAGAGGAAGAATGGCTTGATGGCTCCTTAGGCTGGACACGGCTGAGGAAAGACTCCGAGCTTGAGGATATCGCAAAAGAAGCTTCCAGAATTGAAATGCAAAGATTAAAAAAAAAAAAACAACCCACTGGGGGGGAGAAAAAACCAGAACAGAATACCCAAGAACTGTGGGACAACCACGAAAACTGTAACAAATGCATAATGGGAACACCAGGTTTAAAATTATCTTTCTGTCTACTTTGGGAAACTACAGTAAGGAGAGTAAATTAAACTCAAAATAAGAAAAGAAAGAAAGAATAGAAATAAAAGCAGAAATCACGACACAGAAAACAATACAGGAAATCAACAAAGCCAGAAGTTGGTTTGTTAAAAAGGTTAACTGGGACACGGAGGAAATATTATGAACAAATTTATGCCAACGAATTCGACAACTCGGATGAAATGAAGAAATTATTTGAAAAACACAACTTACCAAAGCTGATACAAGAAGAAATACAAAATCTGAATAGTCTTATATCTATGAAAGAGATTAAATTTATAATCAAGAAGTTTTCCATCGAGCAACCTCCAGGTCTCACCCTGGCCGGTTTGGCTCAGTGGTTAGAGCGCCGGCCCGTGGACTGAAGGGTTTCGGGTTTGATCCCGGTCAAGGGCATGTACCTCGGTAGCAGGCCTGATTCCCCCCTCACCCCCCGGAAAAGCGATGGGAAAAAATTCCTTGGGTAAGGATTTAAAAAAAAAAGAAAGAAACCTCTAGGTCCAAATAGCTTCACAGGTAAATTTAATCAAACATGAAAGAAATAATACCAGTCTTACACAGACGCTTCCAGAAAACAGAGGAGAAGGGAACACTTCCCGACTTATTTTATGAGGTCAGCAAAACTCTCATCATACCAAACCCCGACACAGGAAAATCATAGACAAAACCTTAGCAAATCAAATCCAGCAATATATACCATAAAATATATATAGTCACAACTAAGTGGAATTTATGCAGGAATGCCAAGCTGACAACATTTAAAAATCGGTGTACTTCACAGCATCAAGAGGGCACGAATACAAGTGCACACGTTAATAAAAAAACCCCAAAATTGCATCGTTTATATCTGCGCCTTTCCCGGTGTGTAAAGTTGGCCTTGATTGCTTTTTGAAAAAAATGGAAAAAACAGTTGAGACACCTTAGTTCTAGGCCACACACCCAAACAGACGGGTTGCCTTCTTAAGGCCACTCCTCGCTCACGACTGTAAAAATCACACCCTCGTCGCAGGAGGACACGCATCTTTCTCTAATCGGACGCAGTAGATGCCAAAACCAGCTTTAAGGAACCGGGATGCAGACCCTCAGGGGGTGCGGGGAGGCATCGGAGCACGGCCCCGTCTCGTCCTACTCGCTTTCATCCCATCTGCTGACATTTCAGCCCTCCCCACCCCGACTCTCCTGGGAGCCGTGACTCCTCAGCGCGGAGGTCCCCTGGGTCTTATCATTCTTGTGTGACTGTGATCATTGTAAACAGTCCTGTTGCTTCATGGTAACATTCGTGATTCCAGTGTTGTGGTGCCGAGGGCTTTCTGGCAGGGCTATTCCCCCTGAAATTAACTCAGCCTGGGGAAACCATGCCTCTCAGATACTGTAATGTAAGGACTGCAATCTAGAAACTTTCCATCTGAGAGCGGAGCCATCACCCGACTGGTTTGCGTTTTCGGGTTTGGAGGAACAAAGGCTGCTGTGACATGTCCAATATCCTCCAAGCTATGAACTCATACAACTTGTTTTGTTTTCATGCCACATTCTCTTTGGGGTCACTTATCGACACTCAGGGAAAATCGTTTCTGTTCTGTGTTATATAACCCTTTGGAAAGCTCCAACATGAAATAACTGAATCTAATTGGAATCCGCATCAGGTCCCAGATTTTGGTTAGGGGTGGGTTTTTTGTTTGTTACTCACTTATTTAAAAAAAAAAAAAA